TTAAAATATGCCAACAATTACAAAAATTAATTAAAAAGTGATAATAGCTAGCAAATCTTTTTTTGGGTTAAAACTTGTTTATGATTGTTATTCCAAAACTCTGAATCTCTAATCAGTTTGGGTCCATTACCTATTTTCAAAAAAATAAAAAATAAAAATCATGTAATATAACACTTCAACACTGAATACGACAGTCCCAGCAATCCAAGACTCACAAACGGGGATGAGCTTATGGCTGGATATTAATTTATTAAGACTATATTTTGGCTACTTGAAGACAATACATATTTTTTAAGACAGTGCAATTTTTTAACAAGACAGTGCAAATTTATTACTAACATAAACACACAACTTCCACACAAAAAAAAAAGGGGGGCGGGACAATATACCAAAGCAGGAGCATTAATGGTCATATCAAGAGCCATAAATCTTTGAAATGATCCAGAAACTCCAGCAGAACCTTTTAGAAAGTTTAATGCCAAAAGAAATCATAGGAGGACGTCGGTAATATCTAACTTGGTTTTAATTTCAGAAACAGCTTTGGAATTCAATAGCAAAACAAAAGCTAGAGGAAATCAACTCACAAAATAAGAAATTAAATTTATTTAAAAGCTCATTTACTAAAATTAAACTTTACCTTCAAAGTAAACAAATAGAAATGCTCAAGGAATCTAGTTAGTCTTCTGATGTTTTCCCAATCCTCAAAGTCTGGAATTCCAGGAGCACTTGGAGCATTCAATTCATCTCTGAATGTTTTTTCTTGCCTTGCGAGCCTATTTCACATTTAAAAATTAAAAAAAAAATCAGATTAAAAAAAAAAAAGAACAATGAAAATTTAATATAAAAAATTTATCTAGAATTAATAATTTGTATGTTACCTGGCAAATGCTTGTTCATACTTCTCAGCCCTTTGCAACATATCATAAGATGAGTTCCACCTATGGGGAACATCTAAGCACACATTCTTTTTGAAATCAATCTCCTCGAATGCAACCGCATCCTTAAAAGTTTTTACCCTTAAAGTGCTTTGCCTAACCCACTTGCAACAAGCTCTTACTGATTCCACAGAATTGTTGTATAATTTCATACCATCATGGATAACTAAGTTTGCAATGTGTTTGCAATGTGTGCTACACAACACATATGCAAATCCTTCCCCCGTAACACACTAGTCCCCCATTTGTTAAGGCATTCTCTCAATGACCTAACCAACACATCATTTGCACTAGCATTGTCAACAGTAATACAATAAACCCTATCAATGCCCCACTCTCTTAAGCATCTCTCTAACATATCCCCTAAGTCCTCCCCTTTATGACTATCCACAGGGACAAAGCACAATATCTTCCTTTGCAAATTCCAATTATCATCAATAAAGTGAGCAGTGAGAGACATATAAGAGATTTTATTTTGTGAAGTCCATGTATCCGTAGTTAAAGAGACTCTCATCTTCCTATCCTTAAAGAATTTGGACAAATCATCTCTAAGGTCACAATATAAAGCAAGGATATCTCTTGTGATGGTTCTCCTAGATGGAGGCTTAAAATGTTGTGGAAGACATACTTTACAAAAATGTAAAAATCCTTCTTTTTCAACAAAACTGAAAGGTAACTCATCTAAAATAATCATCACAGCAATTGCCTTCCTAGATGCCACTCCATCAAACTTCCACTGTCCTAAATGCACTGCCTCACCTCCATCAATAGTTGTAAACTTTGTCAACTTCAATTGTGCTTGGTTTTTCAAATTTTCTAGATTTAATTTGCATCTAGTTATGTGTTTCTTAAGGCCTGAAGTCCCATTATTTGAAGAACAAGCTCTTATGACAGCACTACACCATTTACACCTCCCCTTTTGTTTCCCATCAGGACCAATAAAGCACACAAAATATTTCCAAGCTTCAGAAGTTTTACCCCTTGGTTTCCGTTGAGTGCCTTGAGGTTGAGATTGTTCATTGACCTCAGGAGGTTGATTCTTCTGAGAAACTCTTCCCCTTTTTTTAGTTTTATTTGTTGTGCTTTCTTTAGCTCTAGTGATATTCCCCTCACTGCTTTTACCAAGACTATCATCAATATCATCTTCCTCATCATCTTCCTCCTCCTCCTCTTCTAAGTCTTCTTTATATTCCTCATCATCTTCCTCCGTTTGCTTTCCTTTGGTCTTTTGCATTTCTTCCATCCTTTTCTCATGGCTTTCAAATTCTTCCTCCAAATCATATCTTAGTGGAGGTGCCTAAGCATTAAAAAATATTGCAAGAATTTAAACATTAATTAAGAGTACATAAGATAGGGAGGGAACATAAGAAATTTAATGTATATGCAAAGCATATATATACCAAAGAATTAAATTCAAATAGTTGTTCTCCTCTTGGTGCTCCCTCTACTGATTCAGAAGGGTAACTATTCATTTGAATTCTTGAAGTTGACATTATTTATAGCATTCTGTATTTAAAATAGAAGAGACATGTCGATTGTCAAATAAAGAAAATAGAAACTAAACAAAAAAATTCAAAGAAAAAAAGTAAATTAATTGACTAAAAAAAGGGAAATAGAGCAAATATCTATGACAAATAGAGTAAGTAGAAACTAAATAGAAAAATTCAAAGGAAAAAAAGCAAATAAACCAACTAAAAAAAGAAAAACAGAGCATATATCAATTGTGTTGACATTAAAAATATGACAAGTAAAGATACTTCTAAATTTCTAAATTTGAAAATCTTCAATGTCAAATGAATAAAAATAAAAGCATTGGCATAGTGGTGGGCCATTTGCACATGGACGGATGGACCCATTTCATTTGGCTTCTTGCAAGCAATTATATAATTTATTGTCCGCCTTCTATTTCTTTAATCACATGGTCTTCCGTCTCTCTTCACAAAACCCCATTTTTCAAAGATGAGCAAAATACTTTTGGCTTTTCCTTCTAATTTGGCAGAAGAAACACATATAAAAAAGAAGAGCCTCAAAGCAGCATCACAGTTCACAGAGATGGAGCATGGTATGCGATTCTCTCACAATCTCACTTTCTCATCTTTTCCAACTTGTTTTCTCACCTCTCCTTTTCCCTGTACTCTCTCTGTTTCTCTATTATTTCAATTTTCAAGTTTTGCAAGAATAAAACTTCCAATCTTTTAAAATTTTGTTTGGATTCAAAGCAGCTGAAAGGGAATTCTTTAAGAATTTGCACATCACACATTCATACCCATTTTTGGAAGAAAGATCAAGCAAAGTGTGTACTATTCCAGTATTCTGGTTCTAGACTTACTGGTGGTCGTATTTGGTCGTTGGTCACAGCGCCAGTCGTCATCGTTGCCTGCTCGTAATGGTAGAGTCGTCGTCGGGGTGAGAGGAGGAAACTGTAGACGAGCCAAGCGCAGTCAATAGAACCGTAGAAGCGTAGAAGAAGGTAGATCGACTGATAAAAATATTAAGGGTTTTGTCTTTTGACGAGGACTATTTTGTATTTGCAATTAAATTAGAAATATTTAATTATTTTAATTTTTTAATGAATTAATTTATAAATA